CCCCCTCTGTTTGAGTCTTAAGGGGCTTCCTGTGCCTTTTCCCCAGTGCCTCGGACAGCCTTCTCCACTAAAACAGGAAGCGGCTGTAAACGGAGACAAACCGGCTTGTGAGAATCTGTGAGAATCGTTTCTCTGTCACAAATTAAAGCTTTTAAGGACTCCTTGTCCCTTCTTTCCTATCGCGGTGTCACCGTGACCCGGAGAGAAAGCCGGGAAATAATCCTGTTCCCTTCCAGAGCTCTTCTTCTTTATCGGGCTTATCAGAGGAAGGACGCCATGGTGGAAAACCCAGAAAAACTCCAGGTTTAACTCCGGGTTTAACTCCAGTTTTAGGCCCGTTTGACCTCTTTTAGAGCTGGAGATCGTTTCAAATCTGTTTTTCCTTTGAATTTCAACCACAGAACTCAAAACAAGCTCCTTTTTCTGGATAGCCTCCCGGTTCTATCTAGATCTGCTGGGTTTTTAATTCAAACTCTCAATCAATTCCACCTTAAAAGCTTCTAAAGGAGCCATTTACTCAGTTTTTCTGTCAAAGGAGCAAATAACAAAGGTGCGGATTGGTTTTTGAAAACCTTTTTTAATGTCCCAGCTTTACTGTTTCACGGTTTGAGCTCAGAAACGACAGCAAACCTTTATCCTTACGTTGGGTTTTCTGAGTTCTGGCCTCCACTTCCTGCCCGACCTTTGACCTCTGGCCTGGCTGTGATTGGACGCCGACTGAAGCTGCTGATGTCTTTCCTCCTGGACGCCGCTCACCCTGAGGACCAGCTGGATGCTCAACAAATGAGAAAACAAGGGAAGATTTAGTCTAATTACTCAGAAAATTACAAAAAATGTCCGCACTGCTCAGGTTTTTCTCTTAATTCTCAGACTTTCTCCTGCAGAGCCTCTTATTTCTTGTCTCTAAAAAGCTGTTTGTAGCTGGAGTGTGAGCCAATTGACATTTAGGAATGAATCCTGCCTTTGTTTTTTGTTTTTTTAGGCTTGTGGTGGGAGTTTGGCTCTTCCCCAGCTACTGTGTTTTGCTGTAACCTGCTCTGTTCTGTTCTGTTCGGGCTGAGTAGGAGCTGGAATGACATAGAATAAAGTTATTTATCTACTTACTTAGTTACTTAGCTCAATTAGGGGAGTCTGAATAACACACACTGGTTGGTAAAGAGACCCTGAACTGTTTATTCAGGGATAAACACAAAATAGACTAAACTATAAATAACTGGAAATGACATTATTGAACAGTAAAAAGTGCAAATAACATTATAAACTGTATTAAAAAGGCATAACACACAAAAAAACTAATTAGAAAACAGTCTATTAACTCAGTTTTACATCCAGATCTTCCTCTTTTTCATCCTTGAGGATAAAATAATCCCACACAACTGACATTTAGGAATGAATCCTGCCTTTGTTGTTTTGTTTTTTTAAGGCTTGTGCTGGGAGTTTGGCTCTTCCTCAGCTTCGTGTTTTGTTTTAACCTGCTCTGTTCTGTTCTGTTTCTGGTTGGGCTGAATAGGAGCCGGAATGACATGTATTAAAGTTTAAAGTTATTTATTCTACTTACTTAGCTGTCAGACCCAGGCTCATGTTGAACAGGCATTTACTCTGATAACAACTAGCCAGCTGAATTATGGGAGTTTGAATAATAAACACCTGTTGGTAAAGAGACACTGACCTGTTTATTCAGGGATAAACTCCAAATAATTAAATTATAAGTAATATATATTATATAATAACAAGAGGAAATGGCATCAGTGAACAGTTAAAAAGCGCAAAAAATATTGTAAACTGCATTAAAAGAAACCAAACACACAAACAACCTCAACAGAAAATAGTATATTAACACTGTTTTACATTCAGATCTTCCTCTTTTTCGTCCTTGAGGATAAAATAATCCCACACAATTGACATTTAGGAATGAATCCTGCCTTTGTTTTTTGTTTTTTTAAGGCTTGTGGTGGGAGTTTGGCTCTTCCCCAGCTGCTGTGTTTTGCTGTAACCTGCTCTGCTCTGTTCTGTTCTGGTTTAGTAGGAGTCGGAATGACACGTATTAAAGTTTAAAGTTATTTATTCTACTTACTTAGCTGTCAGACCCATGTTGAACAGGGATTTACTCTGACAACAACTAGCCAGCTGAATTATGGGAGTCTGAATAATAAACTCCTGTTGGTAAAGAGACACTGACCTGTTTGTTCAGGGATAAACCCAAAACAGACAAAACTATAAATAACAACTGGAAATGACATTAGTGAACAATAAAAAGTGCAAATAACATTATAAACTGTACTAAAAGAACAAAACACACAAACAACCTGAGTATAAAATAGTCTATTAACTCAGTTTACATCCAGCTCTTCCTCTTTTTTGTAAAAGATAATCCGACACAATTGACATCTAGGAATGTATCCTGCCTTTGTTTTTTATTTTTTTAAGGCTTGTGCTGGTAGTTTGGCTCCTTCCCAGCTGCTGTAACCTGCTCTGTTCTGTTTTTTTCTGGTTTAGTAGGAGTCGGAATGACAGAGTCAAAGTCCACCGCTCGGTTGGGATGAGCAGCGAACCGCCGTGCGCCATTCTTCCCGCACTTGTTCCCACATTTGTTCCCAGATCTGTTCCCAGATTTGTTCCCAGTTCCGGTCGGGACTCGAGGCTCCACGGGGACTAAGAAGCGCCTCACAGGGGGGGTGAAACATGCTGAGAAGGAGCCTGTTGACCGGCGGGTTGAGGGGGAACCGGGAGCTCCGGGAGCTCCGGGGCCCGGTGCTGACGGTGGCCGGGACCGGGGCTCTGATCCCCGGGGAGATTCCCCCCCACCACCGCCGACCGTCCTCCACCGCCCTGGGAGTATCCAAGCCCAAAAGCATGGAGGACCTGGGCGGTCCGAGTTTACTGACCACCCTGTACTGGCTCTTCGTGAAGGGATACTTCCAGACCACGCAGCAGATGCAGGTGAGGGAAAGCCGGGGAAAAGCGCCGGTCCGCGGCCCCCCCGCCGGACCGGAGACCGCAGACCCCCGGTCTGAACTCTAGTAACCCCTGGCAGAGCTCCGATAAGGTTCAGTCCGTGGCATGTTGTCCTTTATGTGCAGTGCGTTCAGATTTTTTTTAGCCTGGGATGATTTGTTCCAAGCGAAAAGTGTCAATGGGAGGCAGGGACGTCTTTGAATAACAGGCAGTGACTCAGCATTTATCTCCAGAGCCTTGTTGTGCTCCGTTAAACTCCTAAAACCCACATGTTGCTTGGGAAAAACTTCTGTGAGCAGCTCCAGTCCTACTTTAAAAAAAAATCTAGTAGTTTTCAGGAATTGTGTGTAGGATTTCTGACTTGTTCCACTCAGAACTGACCTCTGGTTCTGGAAAAAAGGAGAATTACACATCAGTGTGTTGGTCATACGGCAGAAAAAAAGAGGGAATTCATAAATATTGACTTTTTTTTCCTATATGAACCAAAAACAGAGCTCCGATAAGGTCAAGTCCGTGGCATGTTGTCCTTTATGTGCAGTGCGTTAAGATTTCTCTGGCCTAGGACGATTTATTCCAAGTGAAATGTGTCAACGGGAGGCAGGGACGTCTTTGAATAACAGGCAGTGACTCAGCATTTATCTCCTGAGCCTTGTTCTGCTCCGTTAAACTCCTAAAACACACATGTTGCCTGGGAAAAACTTCTGTGAGCAGCTCCATTCCTACTTTGAAAAAAATCTATCTAAAAAAAACAAATAAAAAAACAACAAAACTTGAATTTCCTCTTGGAGATCAATAAAGTATCTATCTATCTATAACTCCATACTTAAGTGGAAGTAAAGAAGTACTAATTTTTTTTGTACTTAATTATTGCAAGTAGAAGTATTTAAAAAATTGCTACTCAAGTATCAAAAGTATAAGTAAAAGTACAAGTACTGTGTATATTAAAAAAAGGCAGTCAAAAGTGTGATAGATATTGTTTATATTATTTCAAACGTGTGAAAGGCCATACAGGTGTTTACAAAAAACAGAAAACTACATCTGCATTAGCAATCAACCGCACTTCATCTACTATTTATTAGTCCAGAGTCAGAATCCTGAGCTGAGCCTTTATGCTAGCATGTAGCATACAGCTAGGTTAGCTTTAGCTAACGTTAGCTGCTACGTCCTGAGTGAACAGAAAGAACTGAACTAGCGCTTATTTACTAGCCTATATGTCATTGTATTTTATTGTATTGTATAAGTAAAAGTAGGGAAAAAGTACAGATAGTGCATTTTGGTACTTAAGTACAGTACTTAACTCATTGGCTGCCAAAGACGTCTATAGACGTATTTTATGTTTTTCAACGAGAGTGGCTTGGGGACGATCTGCTAAAGCTTGTCCGTAAATATCGGCTTCCAGACAGAGTATGTAGTAACAAATTGACCCTCTAGGTGGCAGTGCCACTTTTGATGGGAGATGAGCATAGACTGTAGGCAAATAAGAAAAAGCTAACGGTTCGCTATGAGAGAACATGTCGCCGGTGAGACGCAAGTCCAGGAAGAACGGAATAAGGTAGAAACACATTTTTTTTCCTGATGAAAGAAGAGAGTCTACTCTTTCTTTTGGTGTTTTCAGTGTTTACATAGTCATAGCACAAACTATTCTGTGGCTCTTGAAAAATCAGTCAAAATGCTCAAAAAACTCTGGCAGTATGGGACTCCATACTGTTCTGTAAATGGCTGCCAGTCAATGAGTTAAACAGTTCTTCTTCGTTACTGTTAATCTCTGACTGTAACTGCTCGTAGATTGAGCACAAGAAGATCTACGGCCCCCTCTGGAAGTCCAAATACGGCCCCCTGGTGGTGGTGAACGTGGCCAGCGCGGAGCTGATCGAGCAGGTTCTGCGGCAGGAGGGGAGGCACCCGGTCAGGACCGATATGCCGCACTGGAGGGGCTACAGGGAGCTCAGGAACCAGGCCCACGGGCCCCTGACCGAGTGAGTTCTGCTGCATAACGCCATCTTTTCCTGCATCTGGGTCCTAGGGCTGCTGGTACTTACATTTTCATCCAGGGAGGGGGCTAGAGGGGGGTCTGGTCCCCCCTGATAAATCCTGTGCCCCCTCAAACTGATTATTAAATGTCCAAGGCTCCGAGATGAAGCCCAGAATGAGTCTTTAGGACCCAGAATGAGCCTGTAGGACCTAGGGTTGTCACGATACTGATATGTTCAACTGGATACCGATACTCAGGAAAATATTCAATACCATTCTCGATACCACAAGGATAAAAACAAAGACCCCAAAATTTAAAATTTAATTTGGTTTCAAACTGACCTGTTACTGATGTTATGGTGGCCCACATTAATGACCCTAACCCTAAACCTAACCCTAAACCTGACCCTAACCCTAACCTTTCATAATTGTGAGAAATAAATATTTTTTGGTTAAACTTGTTTGGACTTATTGTTCAAACCTATTTAACATCCACTATTTGAACATAATATTATGTATAGAGTTTAATTCAGTGTTTGTAAGATTATTTTCACTATTTTTAAATTAATGTCTATATTGCCATGAAGCAATTAGGATTTTCTTGCCTGGGATCTTCCTATTAGTGACCTAATCAAAATGGCCGACTTGGATGTGGGGGAGTTGGATATCCATCCTTGGCTTCCTGCAGTCTGCAGCCAGACGGAGTTGATTAATGTTGGCGTGTTATTATTAGCCGTTAGCCACAGCTAGCAATTCAAGGCTAACGTCATGCTAATGATCATAAACAACGTAAATAAATAAATAAATCAGAGAGAATGGGGGGGGGGGTTATATCTATACTTTTGAAAATGAGTATCTTATCCAGATACAACGTTTTAGTAGTACTTTTTTGAGTATCGATACTTTTGACAACACTATTTGGTCCACCAGACGTCCCAGCCACCCATCAGGACCATTGGGGGCTTTTCCCTGAATGGTTTAGTTAAAGCTGATTTATGACAACAATCTACAAGTAAAACGACTAAATAAATTCCAAAAACAGCTGTAATCATCACATTTAATCATTTGTTTAGGGAAAAATAACCAAAACAACAACTAAAGAACACCAAGAATAATCGTAAAATCAGCACAAAGGAGCTAAAATAAACCATAAACAACCAGATTTTGTTTAAGAAAGAATAGAAGCTGCTATCAGAGCAGAGAGATGAAGTTTAAGCTGATTCTGAGAGGAAAAGGATCCTTTAGCTGCTCCTCTTTGGGCTTTAACTCAGAAATACTCTGATTTCTAAACTAAATAAAGATGTTTTCTTTTTTTGTGTTAATTAGAAAAACCGCCATAACCAGTTAGAATATATGAAGTTAACTTAATATGTTTATGTTATGTTTAATAGATGGAAACAGGATAAACGATTCAGTTTAGTTCAGTTAAAGTTAATTTATGACAACAAATTTCAACACAAAATGACCAAATACATTCTAAAAACACGATGAATCATCACATTTCATCATTGTTTTAGGGAAAAGCTGCTGGTTGCATCAGATTAACTTAAATAAGTCGTTTCCAGCCGACAGATGCAGGAATCGTCCAGCAGGAGGCTCGCGGCTGCTTCTTTGAGCTGAATCCAGGCTGTGAAAATGTCAAATATATGTGAACAAAACAGGCATCTGTGCTCCTTCAGTCACTGGCCTTTTGTTTTTAAACGTATTTTACGAGAAAGAGGAAAGACAAGGGATTAGGATCGATGGCTAGGGGCCATAATTCGGCCTGTTTCCTGTTTGTTTTGGCCCCTCGGACAGTTTTAACCTCAGGAAAAGCAAAGAGAAGCTGGTTTCCTCTAACCTGGAAACTGTTTTGCATGTTTTGTGTGCTAGTTCAGGGCCTCAGATACAGTGGGAGAAATAAGTATTGGGCCCCTTAGCTGATTTTGCAGGTTTAGCCACTTACAAAGAATGCTTATTTTTCCTCATCAGATGGTTATCAATTCTTATAAATTCACATGATGTGATTTTCTGGAATTTTTGGGGGGATTCTGTCTCTCACTGTTAGAACGTACATATGATTAAAGTTATAGATCGTTGCATTCTTTATAAGTGGGCAAAACCTGCGAAATTAGCAAGGGGTCAAATACTTATTTCCCCCACTGTACCATCAGATCTCGTCATATTTCAGCCTCAGAACGGGTCGAAAACAAAAACAAACCAGCAGAGGGAGAAGGGGTTAGAAGCCCGCCTCCCTCAGGGTAATTACGGCTTTTTTCTCCTGGTATTCAGTCATTCCTGTTGGGCTTGTTGAGGCAAAGCCTCCGGGGAGTCGAGCTTTGTGACCTCAGAGCAGATTCAGTCTGATACCAAACCGACTTTAAACCCAGGAGAGAGCAGGGTGTTTTTTGGTTATTTTTCCCTTAAAAAATTATTAAATTTGTCGATTCAAATGTGTTTTGGAATTTATTTATTCGTCGTTTTCCTTGAAATTGTTGACATGAATCAGCTTTAACTGAACTAACTAATGAATACAAAAGAAGAAAAACATCTTTATTTTAGAAATCTAAGTTATTTTTTAGTTAAAGCCCAAAGAGAAGCAGCTTAAAGGTCCCTTTTCCTCTCAGAATCAGCTTAAACTTCATCTCTCTGCTCTGATAGGAGCTTCCATTCTTCCTCTGGTGGTTTTTCTCTAACTTTCTCAAACAAAATCTGGTTTATTTTTGCTCCTTTGTTCTCATTTTAGGACGA